TCACATAATGAAAAATTGAAAACCTGAACTTGATCATAAATAAACAGACATGGGCCGGGGATTTAGCTCAGTGGTTCTGCCGCCTGCCTCGCAAGCACAAGGACCTGAGTTCGATCCCCGGTACCCACCCCCCCAAAAGTCAGACAAATTCAGAATTTGGAACAGGTTTTTAATAAGTCCATATCATGGAAGAAGAAATAATCAGAGGGACTTGATTAGATTGAAAGATACTAAAGAAATGTAATAGTTGGGCTAAAGATGTAGCTCAGAGGGAGAGAGAGAGGGAGACAGAAGACACACAGAGAGAGAGAGAGAGGAATAAGGAGGAGAAAAAGAAGAAAATAAGGAGGAGGAGAAAGAAGAAGAGGTGAAGAAGGGGAAGGGGAAGAGGAAGAAAAGAAAAGCAGTGGCTTTCTAAATGTCAGGGCTAAGATAAAGGTAGTCATAGCCACAATGCAGGGAAGTCTCCCCAAGGATCCAATCAGAACATTGGAATAGATGCAGAGTAACACAAAGAGAATGAGAGAAATACGTAATCTTGAAAGTATACAAGAAGGATGGGTTTATGAAACAGGAGCTGACGATCAACCTCTTAGTGATAATCAACAAAGGAATTGTGAATATTTTGTTGACAGCCTTCTTGAGGATGCTTAAAATGTTGGAGCCAAATGCCTATCCCTCATTGGACACAAACAGGTAGATGTAAGTATAAAATTAGAGAAAAATGGATTCACAATGATGATTTTATTTTTTGTTTGTTTGTTTTTAACAGGCTTTCGATATGTAGTCCAGGTCCTCAAACTCAGGGCAGTCCTCGTGCCTCAGCCTCCCAAGTGCTGGGAATACAGGTAAGTGCCACCACAACCTGGCTCAATGATAATTTTAGAAGTTATTCTGATGGTGCAAGTATCAGATTCTGAACTCCATCAAAAAAGGGGAAATTACCTTCAGAATTACAAGGATTTTTTTATAAACAAAAAGTAGATGTTGAACTTGAAGATAAGAAAAATGAAGTACATATGTCTACAAAGCCTGCATTTCAACCCTTTTCAGGGCAGGATCACAGACTGGGAAGTGCCACACCAAAAATTGTTTCTAAAACAAAGACTAATGAAGTTGAAAATAAACATAATTTGTCTGCTGTTTCACTGAGCAACTTGGAAACCCCACACTAATATATAGATATGGTCGGCCAATGGGAAAAGAATTCTTCAGAAATTTAATCTTCCTTATAGGGTAAGCCACATCAAAGGCTTCACTAAAAAATACCCTGAATCTCAAAGTAGTCCTCCCTTTTCCCTGGCAACAGCTCTTCCTTTCCTCAAAGTGCTGGATGAAACACTCACTCTGGAAGAAGTAGATTTACTAAATGCTGTAATCATTCAGAGACTAAAAAAAAAAAACCTTGCCCAAACTTTAAGAGAACATTCATGTTATTGGTTTTTGAGAGACTATGTAGAAATTTTGCATAAAAATGATAGTTTCTACCTTCTATCTTGAAGTAAACATGCAAAAGTAAGAGAAAAGAGCAGTTTGCTGGACTTCTGGTTTGAATGATATTCAAGTCTCTCCTGATGAGGGGATTTGTAATAATTACAAGTTAAGAGAATAACATATTGATCTAGGAGATTAGGGTGTGGCAAAGCTGGTTGGAGAAGTGAGCTGACCGGTTAATTACAAGGTCCCAGACACATGCGCAAAACAGTCCCCAAAGCCCTCCCCAAAGACTTCTCAAGAGAACTCAGATTTTCAGTAGGATAGCCTAGACCTGAGACATAGGATCCCAGCACCGCCTCTTAGGACCCGTATGTAGAAGTTCTTGAAGATTTCCTTGAGATTTGGACTGTATAAAGGACACAGAGGCCAAGAAGAGTTTGCTATCGTGGCTTTCCTTGCTTTCTCTAGGATGTACTTCAGTCTTGCTTTTTCCTCTTTCACTTGGTCCAACTTTACTCTGCAGAGCCAGTTTCATTCCCACTCTTCACTTTGCCACTTTTTTTTTTTTTTTTGCTTGTTTCATTCATTTCTTTGTTTGAGATGAGAAGGACCTGGAATCTCCCTCCAGGAGAGGCGAGCAACCCAGAGCTTGGTAATGTTTGTTTAACAAGCCACTTTTAGAAGGAGCTACCCAATAGCAATATAACTGGAAACTATATTCATCATACCTTTTTTCCAAATGGCTACTCAGAAAGAAAAATACACTTATTTTCAAATACCAGTTAATCAATATAAAATATATTAAACAGCTGTATTTTTTAGAATTTTAATATGGTGTTAGAAAAAGTGTTCATAGCATTAGTTGCTCAAACATCATTTCCAAACAGCGTGAATTTATTTAAATAGTAGCTATCTCAGAATTTTTAAATAGCCATACATTAAAAATTATATATGGTAGAGTTCGAACCCTGTTACCAAAAAAAAATTATATGTGGTAGGTTAAAAGCATTAAGTAATTATTTTGTACCTCAGACATAATCGGAAGTCTGGGATAAGCCGGGTAAGGTGGTACACACCTATATTGTGAGTTCAAGGCCAGCCAGGGTTACACAGCAAATTCAGGGCCAGCCTCTACTACACAGCAAGACTCATCTTAAAAACAAAATAAAACAGGGCCAGGGATTTAGCTCAGTGGCACAGCACCTGCCTGGCAAGCACGAGGTCCTGAGTTCAATCACTGGTACCAACAAAACAAAACAAAGCAAAACAAAACAAAGCAAAACTCTGAGATGACCTGTACCATAGCTGTGTCTAAACCTCAAAGTGTTCTCGGCTTTCACTCTGTGCTAGCAAGATATAATCAAATATTAATTTGGCAGCAGTATATAAGATGTATTTTCACTTAGGAATAAAATTGTGTAGCTTAGGATAATATAGGTATTAATCTTCCTACTCACCTTTCTATACTTTCTAAACATTAAAAAAATATTATCTTCAAGATGCACATTATCTTTCCTTCCCCACCCCAAAATTAGGGATTTATTTTTAGCTATCAATTGGGATTAACCATTCATTTTCTACCACTCACTTAGAATATGAGAGTAAACCTTTGTATTGATGCAGGAATTATTTGGTGTAAAAACAAGGAGGGAGGGGAAAGGAAAATAGTTAACTGCAATATGTGAACCTGTATTGATTTCTGGATTGAAAGAAACTATATAGAATGATGTGGAAAGAGCTGAGGACATTTTACTATGGCCTATATATATTACACATTATATAGTAGATAAAATTGCTAATGATTTTAGGTATAAAACTGATAATGTGACTATGTAGAAAAAATGAATTTATTCTTGCAGGATGTCCAATTATAACACTAAAAAAAATGGAAGTAAAGTATTGCTATGATTCAAATGTGTCCTGCAAAAGTTCGTCTGTTAATTTTAGGTTAAAAACTGATAATGTGATTATGTAGGAAAAAATAAATTTATTCTTGGGGGATACTAAGTTACAACAGTAAAAAGAAAGTGGAGGTAAAATATTGCTATAGTTTGAATGTGTCCTGCAAAAGTTCATGTGTTGGGCATTTGAGTGAGGCAAAGTACAAACAAGGAGAATAAAAAAGGGTGGATAGAAATGAACAAGGAGATGAATTCTCACAATATGGAAGTAGTGCAAGGGATGAGGAGGAGGGGAAGGGGAAATAAGTAGAATAAAGATATGCCACATATAGGAACCTAATAACCTCAATTAATGTAAACATTATATGCCATAACATTAGCTAAGATTAATAATATCAACGCGAATGAAAAATGGGATTGGGGAATTGGAGGAAGAGGGAGAGAGGGGGAGGGAAGGAGAAAGGAATTTTTTTAAAAAAGAAACAAGCTGTTGTTATGTACATATAACCACTCTCCAAGATGACTGCATGAACTGCATGAACTACAAACATGTACTAATAAAATTTAAAAATTTTAAGTTAATGTGTTGGAAATTTAATCTTCAAATTCATATGTAGGTATCTGGAGGTGGACCCTCTGGGAGGTAATTAGGATTAGAGGAGCTCATGAGTACAGGGTCTCCATGAAGGCGTTTAGTGATTTACAAGAACAGGAAGAGATTGGATCTAGCACACTTGCTTGGCTTGGTCTCATCACATGACGCCCCTGCCATGTTATGATGTGACAAGAAGGCCCTTGCCTGATACCAACTACATGCTAGTGCTATACTCTTGAACTCATGGCCTCCAAAATTCTTAGACAAGTAAACATGTTCTTTATAAATCACCTGGTCTTGGGGATTTTATTACAATATTATAAAACAGACAAACAGAAATGTGATGCTTGCAACTTTTTTCCAGTGGCTTATCAAAAAAGTTATTTATATACCATAATGTTTTTTACATACATACCCAAAGAAAATAGAGAAAGGGGTGAGTTATTAACAATGATTAATCTAGGTATAAGATACAAAAGTCCTCTATACCATTTTTCACTTTCTCTGTATGTTTGGAAAACTTCATAAATAAAAACAACTTAGGGAAATTATACCTATTTTCTCTGACTAAAAGTATTATGTGAAGGTATTACATTTTCATTTCGTTTTTAGTTGAGTATATTGTAGGCTACCTTTGCAATTATTTTAACCTTTGTTGTTTTTCAGTTTATTCAAACTATTTCATTTTAGCTCTTTAATTTTGGGCAATTTTCAAGCTCTAGATAAACTTAATATGCCTTGGCTGGAATTAAGCTTCTTCTCTATGAGCCAACAGGACATTTCCAAACATGTTAAACTTTTGTTGTTGTCTTGGTTTTTCCTTTTGTTGTTTTTTATTCTTGTTTTGTTTTGTTTTGTACCGGGGATCGAACTCAGGACCTGTGCGTGGGAGTCAGGCAGCAGAACCACTGAGCTAAATCCCCGGCCCTTTGTTGTTTTTTAAGACAGGTTGGCCTTAAACTTGTATCCCAGGCTGGACTTGAATTCATGATCCAGCTTCCCACGTGCTAGGATTACAAGCATGTGCCACTATCCCTAGCATGTTAACAGTTTTTTATTTTATTTTATTTTATTTATTTATTTTTTTGGTACTAGGGATTGAACTCAGGTCCTTGCACTTGCACAGCAGGAGGCAAAACCACTGAGCTAAATCCCCCGCCAACAGTTTTTTAAAGTAAAACCCATTCAGGTTGGTGAATTCTCCTCCAGTGTCATCCATCCTTCCCCTCTTTGAGTGTGATACTAACAAAAAAGAATGGAGGTTAAGGGGGAGGACAACAATTAAGAAAAATCAATGCCTGGTTTGTTTTCATGTTTCAGGGACTCCTGGCCAAAATTCTCCCAAGCCATGAAGACACCAGGACAGTGAGCAGCACTTAGGAAAGTGCAGCAGGTTTCTCCAGGGAGTCCTTACCTTGGAATTTAAGATTACTTCCCACAGTGGTTCAGTATTTCAAAAACAGTATTTCGTTTTGCCCTGTTGGCTGCTAATAAGGAAAATTCACATTTATAACCAGCCATGGCCAAGTTCACTTAAGGAATCTCTTTGTAAATTCATTAGTAAACGCCACTGAGAAGTTTTATGGCCATGTGTTTCATATTTTCTCCTGATTTGCCCTCTTATTGTTCCTCTTGCTATGGTGTTTCTTCTTATGGCAAATGTTGCCTTTGCTGTTTTTCTTGGCTGCTTGAGCATTCATCCACTGCTTAACAGTATGATTGTGTGGACTGATACAGATTCTTCTGCGCTTGACATGCAGGCTGCCAGGAAAGGAAGAAAAATAATCACTAATAGAAAATATGAACATATAACAAAATGACTAATAGGCAGCTCCCATTCTTGGATGCTGTATTTATTTGTGTGTGTGTGTGTGTGTGTGTGTGTGTGTGTGCGTGCGCGCGCTGTATTCTTAGGCACTGAATCCTAAAGCTAAGCAGCACAAGGCTAAATCTTGGCTTTACACACACTGCTGCCTGTGGTCCTCAGAGATCAGCAGGGGGTATTAAAAGGAGGAAGAGGAAAAGTGAAGAGGAGGAGGAGGGGAAGCAGAAAAGGAGGAAAGCAGAATATGAAGAAGAGGAGGAAGCAGAGGAGGAGGAATGGAACAGAAGAAAAAGAAGAGAAACAACAATAAAAACCAAAGGACAACAAGCTTCACCCAACAAAACCAACTCATCCTCACCACCTTCTCAAATACATCCCTCTTTATAAGGTTTTTCTGGAGTCTCTCAGATAAATGTCTTCTTTTTTCCTTTTGTGTGTCAATGGTAAGGGTTATCTCTCTTCTGGCATTTATTTTACTATGTTTTAATTTGAGTACTTATCTCTCCTCTTGAAGTTATGCTCCTTGAGAGAGGAATAGTATAGGCATATTTTTGAAAAGGTCAAAGTTCACAGTTGGAATTCAATAATTCCATGAAGGTATGAAGTGAAAATTGTTCAAAATACAGACAATTTGTTTCTAACAAAACAGTCAACTACAATATTCTACACATTTGTTAAATTGAATATAATATGGATCCATACCTACAGCTCTGAATTTGTTTTCATTTTCACTTCTCTATATGCAATTTTGACATTGGAGCGGGAGAATCATCCGTCAGCATTCACAATTTCTAAGTAACTAGAAGGGTTTCTTTTGCAAAGGCTGGTATGACTTTTAATTCATCACCAGGTGCCAGCCACCTCTGATGAAATGTTGCAAATCATGCTGGTTCTACATATATAATATTTCTGTGTCCTAATAAAACTGAAACCTTTGGCCCTGTTATTCAGGGGAAAAGTGTAAAAAGAGTAGGCGGCTGTTTCACCAGAATGTCCCGCGTTGAATTGTTATCAGACATGTGAGGACTCAAAATAGAGGCAAAGTGGCAAAAGGTGGGAATGACCTTGACCATAAGAAAACCAGCCTGTGAGGGAATATTAATATGAAAGAAATGTGGCATCTTAAAAAGGGCGCACATTCTCTAAGTATATTAGATTGAGAGGGCTTCAAAAGAAAAGCTGATTTTCACTATGGCCAGTTGGGTTGCTATTATGGAGAAAACCTGGACATAGCATTGCTGCAAAGGAAAAACCAAAAAACTAGGTGAAGCCAGGTATGGTAGCTCACACCTATAATCCAAGCACTCAGGAGGCTGAGACAGGAAGATTGCTGCAAGTTCAAGGCCAACCTGGGCTACCTAGTGAGTTCAAGGCCAGCCTGAACTACATAGGGAGACCTGTCTCAAAACACCAGTATTAACAATAACAAAATAAAATAGAATAAGCTTCTTCACTTTCTAAAGAATGGGAATTCTCTCCTCACTTTGTGGTGTTAGCCAGAACCTGAGGACGGACTTCACTCACATGCAGATGCACCATGGAGAGAACTAAGTCTCAATCCATGATTAAAATATAAGAGTGGGAGGCCGGGAATTTAGCTCAGTGGTGCCGCCACCTGCCTCGTAAGCACAAGATTCCAAGTTTGATCCCCGGTACCAAAAAAAAATTACAGGCATGGTGGCACATACCTATAATCCTAGCACTGGAAGAGCTGAGACAGGAGGATCACAAGTTCAAGCCCAACCTGGGCAACTTAGCAACTTAGTAAAACCCTGTCTCAAATTTTTTAAAAAATGTTTTTAAAATCTAGGGATAGAGCTCAGTATGAAGGTCCTAGGTTTAATCCCTAGTAATCCATAAAACACACACACATACACACACAAGCAAATGATAGCTTCAAGGAGAGGCATCAGCACTGGAGTGGAAGGAGCAAACTCTCCCATAGGCAAATAGGCAGCAACTACCACGTAGGACCCTTTTCACAGGTCTGCCCCATGCTCTCAGTGGAAAGAGACGGGGTGGGGGGGAGAGAGAGAAGCAGCTACCAGAACACAAATCCCAAGTCTGAGATACTATGATGTTCTAGAATCCTAAAGTGCAAAAAGCTGCTTGAAACTCTTTGTATCCCATGTGTATTTCATCAGGATGATAAGAGATTATTAGGAAAGGAGATAGAGAGTCCATTGCACACTCCCCTATCCTAACTCAACCTTGCAGCTTCCTGGCAAGCACCTATCCATCCCAGTGTAAATTTCTAGGGGGAAGAGTTTGACTCTAGGACACCATAGGCTGATGCCCTCTTCTATCCATAAGAGCGGAGCTAGAAACAGTTCACTGGACCCATAGAAATTATACCTAAGATTATTCCCTAAACTCTATATCTTTAACCCTTCTTCTAAACACAACAGCCTTGCACAAACACTTCTGAAAAACTACCCAAGGCTCTCAGATAACTTTATTTAATAACCCCAAAGTTTCTTCCAAACAGATACCTTCTATATGATTCAAAAAACCTCGAACCTCTAGCAACTTTTCATTGTATTTGTATTTACAAAAAGCCAGAAGCTCTTTAATGAAGTCATAGTAGAAGGCTTTAAACAAGGAAACTGCTGTCTCAGGCATCAAAAATTACAATAGACAGACACTCATGGGGACTTACTCTCTGCACAGCACAATGAAAACGTCTTAGGAAAACTGTAGTGTAATGTGCAGCCAGAAATACAGAAAAAGGTTCAATTGAAAAGAAGGAAAAAGCAGATGAGCGAATTCAGTGGTTAGAGATGCACAAAAGGAAGTGTCAAGCACTATCTAAGTCTGTGACCCTGCGTGCAAAAGCCATGGATCCCCATAAAAGCCTGGAGGAGGTGTTCAAAAATTACAATAGACCTGTTTACGGTTAGAAAGGAAAGCAATCTAGTAAGTTCATTGTAAGCTAATTTATATTACTTAACTTTGATTTATAATACATGCTACTTGGGAATTACATTTCCAAAATGAGCAATGTTTTCTGCAGGTAAACACTTGTCTCAAACTGTCAAGTCTTGTACAAAGTTAAGGTTAAGGAACTACATTTTGGATTAAGTAAAGAGATGTTCTGCTGTAGAAGAATTTGAAAACAAGATAATCTTTCTGTTAAACATCAGAAATCATAACAGAGAGGATCTGCAATTTGTGATTAAAAACACTAGAGTCAAATATAATTTTATTTGAGACCAAGTCACAATTGCTCTGTATTTTTACCTTTGTTATCATCACAGAGAGGTCAATTTACAAACTTATGCTTGAATAAAATATTTATAGACCCTAAAAATTGGCTTCTTAGTTTCCCTTCAGTTAAAACTGACTCTTTTTAAACATGAAGACTCATGTTTTCCCACATATTTTTTCTTATCAAAGTGAGGACTTATATCATTTTTGTTCCTGTGCCTTTCAGATCTCCGACACTTGCTTATTCCCCCAAAACACTTTTCTAAAAGTCCTGTTGCTAATGGTATCCCCAGTAGTCTCCAGAATCTGTATCTTACTCATATACCTACAGAAGCTTGCCCTGGTTTTTCTTTTCTTTTTGAGTGGTGGGGTACCAGGAATTGAACTCGGGACCTTGCGCTTTCAAGGCAGGAGGCAGAACCACTGAGCTAAATCCCTGGCCCTGCCCTGGTTTTTCTAAGCCTCCCTGGAAGTCTCTTGTAAAAACTCATGCCTCCTTTGGTCAAAGATAAAACATGCCAATGAGGTGAAAGGAATAGAGAATGTTGAAAATCTGGTGTTTCTGACAGCAGCCAGAATAGCCTCAAGCTGTATGGAGTCAACAGAAATATCCATGATTCCAGTTACTTTGAACATTGTCTATCCTTGAACTATCTGTGAATTTTTCACCCTCCAATCATTACCAACAGTAATGATTAAGTAATATTAAGATTAAAGACTGACAGAATCTCAGCTAAGAATATACTAAGGAAATTGTTCAAGTGAGTTGAGAACTTGAGGCACCTCAGTATGTATTATTCCTGGGCTTTCCACAGGTTATACTGGTTCCCAGAGACTACTAAGCAGTCTAAGCCGTTGGACCCAGGGTAGCTGTTGAACTGAGGAAATACTGAGAGTTCTCAGCCTTCTTGCTTCTCCCAAATATACACCCATGATTATTAAAATTTTTGTTTGTTTGTTTGTTTGTTTCTACCAGAGATTGAACTTGGGTCCTTGCTCTTGAGAGGCAGGCAGTGGAACCACTGAGCTAAATCCCCGGCCCTAAAAGTTTGAAACAATAATTTTCTCCTCCTCAGCATCTGACTCCAAGGCTACTTATAAACTCTTACTAGATTCTTTTGAGAATCTTACAAACCCTATGGACCTAGTTCCCAGAAACATGCTCACAGGTTCATACACAAAAATTTTATGGAGCTCACAGCTCCTTGAGCTGAAGAAAGTCTTACCAATGGACATCTCATAAACTCTTCCCCTGAGCTTTCAAGAATCTTTTTTTGGAGCAGCATTTCTCAAAATTGATTAGGAGACAGGTTCTTCTGGAAGGGGAAATATATATCTCAAATCCCAGAGATTATTCAAATCATCAGAAATGGTTGTCAGAATTCTGCTGGATAAAATGTCTCCTGCAGACTCCAAGAGGGCAGAGCTCATTGAGTTCCCGCTGCATCCCCAGCACACGGAATGGTGCTTGGTGCATTATTCATGATTAATAAAAATCTGTTGGATTTATTGATGGAATAAGGGAGGCCCAAAAGTGATTCAGGAGCTCAACCATAAGTAGTGGTGTTATTTATAGTCCACCAAATGGTTCACTACTATCACCTCAAAACTTAAGTGGTGTTGGGTCCAGGGATTTAGCTCAGTGGTTCTGGTGCCTCCCTCACAAGCACAAGGTCCCAAGTTCGATGCCCGGTACCAAAAAAACCCACAAAAAACCAAGTGGTGTTAACCCACATGACAGGGAGATCCCTTACATCTGAATGCAGTGGAGTTTTGGGACAACTTATTATGGTTAACTCAACCATTCCTTTTGAATGACCATGATATATAGCGTTCTGAACCAAGAGACCTGAGTGCACATCTGCTTTCTGACATTCACTAGTTGTATGATACCAGGTGAACTATGTCCTTGCATTAGTTCCCTTACATTCCACAGGGAAGTAACTTATGGCCTTTTCCTAGCACTGTTGTGATCAGCTTCCCATCCCTGAGTCAGGGTAGGCTAGAAGGGGTGGGAGGGCTCACCATGAGTCAACACTCCAGAATCAAAGCAGAGAAGGATGTTTGTGATTGGATTGCATGTAGCATTTGTGATAGGTACTTGTGAAAGCCTTTCAAAACTTAAAATAGGCTCCCACTGAGTTTAAAGCATAAAAATGACAGCAACCCACATTCTTGCCTGGAAAAATTGTAGTTAAAGACACAATATATAGCAGAACTACCTTCTCTTTGCTATTTTGCTTTTTCATTCAGTAGCTTCCTTGTTTTGCCTGGGAAAGTTGTAAATGCTATCTGGCTACTGAGGGCATTTAGCCCCAACAGAGCATTGCAGGGGCAGGGTGGGAGTGTCTTGAGGGTTCATAGGACTCAGGACATCCCCACACACATTGTGCATTTAGTTCACAGAGCCTGTGGCTCAAAGGACAAAATATGTACTCTTCCTTCCCTTGTTTGAATGATTATATGTATGTTGTACACCAGGCAAAGCCTTTCAGTCTATTGTTTGTGGGCCAGAGAAATAATCAGTGTGCAGGATTAGACATCAGTCCCTGCCTAAGAGCACTCACATGACAGCAGCCAAGTCACAGTCCCCATCAGCTCTTTGGATGCGACATGTAGTCACTCTTTCTAGAAGCCTTCTGGAAACATGATGTGAAACCTCAGTGCAACAGCTGGAAGCAATGGGAAGTATGGCTGAAAGAAGAAAAAAAGGAAATGTTAAATCTTGCTGTGCAGTTCAGACTGGCCTTGAACTCCTATGTAGCCCATGCTGGCCTCAATCTTTCTGCTTCTGAGCCTCTCCCCACCAAGTGCTGGGATTACAGGAGTGTGCCATCATACCTGGCTAAACCTCCAAAATCTTTTGAAAGGAAACAGTGCTATGGAAACTAGAACTAAGTCCCATAGGAACAAAGATGATAGAGAAATTAAACCCGTTTAGGGAAGACAGGATAGGCAACAGGGGATGTGAAATTTGGGCTGCATTTTAAAGGTGTCAGAATTCATCTACATGAAAAGGGGAGTGGAACATTCTAAGAAGGAGGAATTATATGCTCAGAGCACTTTGGGTGGAAGAAAACAGAATGCTTGTTCAGGTTGTGTATTTCACAAAACCCTTGATCACACCCATGGAAGATGGTGCTTTAGATGGGCCAAACTAACCTGACAAGATTCTTGTCAACACTAACAGAGGAAGCTCTGGGCCAACCTCAGGTCATCTTCAGTTCCTGGGCCTAGGACAGATTCCTTGACCCTAGTCTCAGAGCCCCAAGGAGGATCTATATGAAATTAATTGGAGCTCTTCTCCTCTAGAAAGAAAGCCTCTTAGTTTTCCCTCCTGCCTTCTGTAACCTGAATAGCCCAACACTGCTTCCTTTGGAATTGCATCAAGGCTTGAGAAATAGATGAATAAAAACCAAGCTTTATTTTTTAATTTATATATTTATTGGTACATTTTAGGTATAAAATACATTTACATTTATCATTGGGTGTTTGTACCTGAACATGATGTATCTTAGTTCTTATTTTTTCTCCCATTACCTGTGCACCCTTCACCCCCTCCACCCTTCCCTATTTACACAGACTTTGATTCCATTTTTTTTTCTTTCTTATAATTTTTCCTTTCCCTTTTTCCCTTTCCCCTTCCCCTCCCACCACGCCCAAACCCTTGGACCTTTTCCTGTATCAAATTATCAATTATTCATTTTAATCATTTTCATCCTTATTTATACTTTCAGTTTCTCACACTAGAGAAACTATTTGGTATTTACACGTGTGTCCTATTTATTTCACTTAAGAGTATGGCCTCAATACGCATCCATTTAGCTATAAATGTCTCTAGTTTCTCATTCTTTATGGCTGAGTAGTACTCCATTTTATAAAAAAACCCCACATCTTCTTTATCCAGTTTCCAGTCGATGGGCACTTGGGCTGTTTCCAAGCTTTAGCTATTACAAACTGTGCCAATATGAACATAGGTGCACATATATCGCTGTGGTATGACTCTTTTAATTCTTTGGGGAAGATTCTCAGTAGGGGAATAGCTGGGTCAAATGGGACCTGTAGTCCTAGTTCTTTGAGGTATTTCCACACTGATTTCCATAGTGGTTGCACCAGTCTGCACTCCCACCAACAATGGAGAAGGGTTCCTTTCTCTCCACAACCCCGCCAGTATTTGTTATTGGTTGATTTCTTGATAGCAGCCATTCTTTGTGGGGTGAGGTGCAATCTCGGTGTTGTTTTCATCTGCATCTCTCAAATGACCAGTGATGTTGAACATTTTTTCATATATTTATTTGCTGTAAAAACCAAGCTTTAGTCCAACAAAATATTTCTTTTTACTCTCAGAATAGAATATACATATACTCTCCAAGTATATTTTAATTATATATCTGTAAATTTATTTACAAAAAGTTCTCAATAACTTCTAAGACAAACATTTTACTCAATAGATGTGGTTGAAATATAGCCGTGCATGTGATTTACGAGTTCTACTCAGACCCACTTTTAATTTAGCTGTCATGCAAGTCTGCAGCAGCCTAAAGAGAAAAATGTTTGCAAGTGCAAGCCATTTCATGCCATGAGGGTCTTCTTTTCTTCTTAACCTAGATATAGAAATGGATTTTTCCTTTTGTCTTGCATGTGAGGTACACAAAGTGCCAATAAACCAGATTCACTAGAACTAGAAAAGAATAATTTTTTCAGCAAACATTTATTGAGTGCCCACTCTGTGACAGAAATGGTGAAAAAACAAGGCATAGTCTCTGTCCTTGTGATGCTTAGGCAGATAAAGAAATAATTACAACACAGCAAAATAAATGAGTTGGAGTATAGTTCAGTGTTAGTGCGCTTGCTAAGCATGCACTAAGTCATGGGTTTGATCCCCAGTACCAAAATAAAACAAGTGTTAACAGAGATATGTTCAAAATGCTACTGGGTTATAAATGAATACAGCCAGATACAAAAAGTCACACACTATAGGACTCCATTTATGTGAAATGTCCAGAATAGACAAATCCACAGAAAGTAGATTATTGGTCCAAGAGGTTGGGAGAAAGGAATGAGAAGTGTTTGCTAACAGGTTCAGGATTTGCTTTTGGTGATAAAAACTAGAGTTGCTAGTTTAGATAGATGATAGAGTTAGATAGTGGCAATGATTGCACGATTCTGTAGTTATACTAAATATCACTGAAGTTTTCATTTTTAAATGGTAAATTTTATGATATGTGAACACTGTCCTTGCATTTAATGCACTGACTCCTAAAACTAACTGTTTCTTCCTTTAGCTATAGTGTGTTGCCTCTTCTCTGAGTCAGGCTCTTTGAGTATCCCAAACAAGACAGAGTATTGAGTTTACCCACATACCCTTTCATCCATCCATCTATTCACCCATCTCACTATGTGTGAATCATGATGCTGTACTCTGAGGATAGAAAGATGAAGGGCTTTGAACCTCAGAGAGCTACTGCATAGACCTCTGCCATTAGTTGTGACAGAGACAACTCTAAAATATGAAATGTCCTTTTCAGAAGCATTATAAGAGTGAAGAATCATAGGATGTCTTAGTCAGTTTCCTATTGCTAAGACACAGTACCCAACACCAGCAACTTAAAGGAGAAGAGGTTTATTTTGGCTCCTTGTTTCAGTCCATCGTCAGCTGGCTCAAAGACAGAAACAGGTTGGCACAGAGGTCTGGCAGGGGAACAGGTGCTCAATTCATGGCAACAAGAGGCTGGGGGATGGGGTTTCAAGAGACAAAAACACATGCCTTCTGGTCATTTCTCCAGTGACTCATCACCAACCAAGCTTCTCCTCCTAACAGCAAGTCAGCTATCTCACCTCCATGATCCAATAACCATCCAAACACATGAGACATTTCAGGGACATTTTAGACATAAGCCATAACGTAAGTAAACCTGTGTGTTAAAGAATATAAGTTATCCAAGTGCTGATGCCTATTTGAGCAATAGTTTTTAAACAAAAAAAAGTTTTTAGCACCTATATGCTCTCAGTAAACTGGATTAGATTTCTCATCTATACAGACAGGTAAGACTGGCTCACCTGGAGATCACTTAAGTCAAATTATCAAAAGCTAAGAAGCAGCTCAGCATTTAGTACGTTGGCAGATTCAACAGACGCTCTCATTGGTGTATTGTATGGCTTTTTCTATTTTTCTATTCTTTGAAAAAGTTTGTACACAGTAAGGATTATTTGTTCCTCTCATTTTTTGGTAAAACTACTGAAACCATCTGGGCACGATATCTGAGGGAAAGATGCTCAACTCTGATTTATTTTCTAATTATTGGCTTAAATTTTTAAATATCTTATTGAATCAATTTTGATATATCAGTTTTCCTAAGAAATTGCCCATCCTATCTGCAGTTTCTAATCTATTGTCATAAGGTTGCACAATATTATCTTTTTTTTTGGTACCGGGGATTGAACTTGGGTCCTTGAGCATGCGAGGCAGGTGGCAGAACCACTGAGCCAAATCCCCAGCCCCTGCACAGTATTATCTTACTGTATCTGTAGTTATGCTCCCCTTTTTATTCTTCTATACTGTTTGAAGAGAAGAGGTTCCAGTGCAAGGCAACAGTTTAGAAGTTTATATCTAAGTAATGAATAAAATCTACTTATAGGGGCCAGGGATTTAGCTCGGTGGTTCCGGGGCCTGCCTCACAAGTGCAAGGTCCCGAATTCGATCCCCGGTACCAAAAAAAAAATCTACTTATAAACTTGATATATTCTTTGCTTAGAATCTACAAAATGCATTAATTATGGGTTAAAGTGGGAATCACAAAATACTATGAGAAACAAAGTTCTACCTAATACAGTTAAACGTAGCTGTAAGGGCGTTTATTTAAGCACACACATGCACACGCGCTCACACATGCACATGTAAACACACACCACACACCAAAACAAGTGTGTTCAAATCACTCAATTTTTTTATATAAAATTCTTTTATTGGTACATTGTAGGTATTCAACACAATTACATTTCTCATTGGGAATTGTACCTTTACATAATGCATCTTGGTTCTTATTTTTTTCCCATTCC